TAATGAGCATTTCCATTAATGCACATTTCTTAAGAACACGAGTACACAATTTAGTACGAAAAGATATTTAGAAAGAAAATTCTTTTAAAAAAATGTATATACTGGCTTATGTGTGTATATTGGATGACATTCTTTGTATTTAGAATTTCATTTTAATTTTAAAAAGAATTTGATTCCATTTGCATCCTGCGTATGTACCAAATCCTTCTTAAAATAGTGAATGCACCTTTGACTTAAACTCAGAATAATAGCAAAATGAAGAAAAAATGTTTTGTATTTTATAATTACGAAAATAACAAGACTGTTTACATTAAATAATTTGAACATTAAATTAATTAAAAAAGAAAAAATTCTATGGAATGAATAATTGCAATGGATTTGTGAACTATGAAATGCGTTATTTTACCCTAAACAATCTATAGACACATTTATGGTTAGAATTTTATTTTATTTGCTAATATAACTGAAAAATGTTTTAAATTTTATGTAGTAAGTAATTAATTTATATAAAACTCAAAATCAAAGCAAACTTTTTTACTCATTTAACAATAATGAAAAAATTTGTATACCAAGGTTTTCTTCAGAAATCTTTAAGCATAACGAAATATTTGCTCGTCTTCTCTTGCGATTCAAGCATTATGTAAAGCAAATTTATATCAATCTAGTCCCTCCTAGAACACTATTTTAGAAATTGTTATATGACTCTTTCCCCTCATGGTAATGCCACATTCTATTTTTTTGTGATTCTAAAGGATGTTTTTTTAGCTGCATGAGTACTGGGCGATATCGATAACCATTGTTTTGATAGCTGAGAATGTCAAACTATGATCACATATCTATTCAGTAAGGTTTGAGGATCCATCATGAATCGTTTAACGCTAGAACAACGTTTCCAAATTGTGGAAATTTACTTTGAAAAAAATAAATCTGTTCGCGAAGTTTATATCGAAGAATTGTGTTTGCTGATGAAGCTCATTTCTGGGTAAATGGCTATGTCAATAAGCAAAATTGCTGTATATGAAGCGAAGATAATCCTCAACCCTTTAACAAATCGCCATTGAAATTGATTGTTTGGTGCGGTTTACATGCTAGTGGCACCATCGGTCCTTATTTCTTCCGAAATGAGGAAGGAGCTGCCGTTACGGTGAATAACGAGCGCTATCGAACCATGATGACGGAATTTTTGTCAGTAATTTTCAAAAATTAATCAGTTAAACATTGACGATATTTAGTTCTAACAAGATGCTCGCTTAACAACCAACTTTATTTTCAGAAATGGTCCTGTTAACTGGCTCTCCCGTTCGTCCGATTTAACGTCTCTTGATTACTTTTTATGAGACTAAGCTAAGTCATTGTTAAGACCATACTAGTCACGCCATAAGACCATATTTATTGCAAAAAATAGTAAAAAATTAGATTGATTGAATGGACTATGCAATTCATATTCAAATCGGAAATCATATTCAAAAAAGTATCATGAAATTATCTACCAGATTATAACAAAAAAAGTTTCAAAATCAACATACAGCAATATTTCTGTCTAGTATTATTTTAAAATTCTAGTAGTTTAATCCTCCCACAGCTAGAAAAACACACTACTATAATAGTTACAAAGTTAGTAGTTTACTAACTTTATAAATTAATATAGTAGTACATGGCCAAAAAAAATTTGTTTATTTTGAAAAGATAATGTATACAGCTCGTCTTTAGATGTTTTAAAAGAACAAATATCAATTGACCTGCTTAGCCTTCTATAAGCTCTCTCTCTCTATAAGTCTATACTACGTTCCAACTTGTTTAAGTGTTTGTTTTCAAAATCATTATATTATATAAATGTATTGTTTTGAAATTTATATAATTTTCAAATTATTTTATTTCCTAAACAAAAAATAAATAATATAATTGTTATTTATATAATAGATTGCTACATCATTTTAGAGTCCATAGTTTTTAATTATTTATTTGTTAATAAATGTGTTTTAATTTGTGTGTATTTAAACCTTTAATCTGAAATATTTTCTATATTTGAATAATAATGTTGTATTTATTTTCGTTTTTAAATAATCGCAAAAATGTAAATAAATTTAACAAAATTTTTTTTCTTGTAATTTTAGGTTATATTCAACTTTTTTATGGTAAGTTAATTACAATAAAAATATTTTGATAAAATAAATATAAAATTTAAACTGCAGTGTAGTGATGTATTTTTATTTTTACAATAATCTATATTGATTTTAATTACTTATACATTCAAATAAAAAATAATTTTATATCCGGCTATAGGTCACTTTTTCTTAAAATTATAATTAAAAACGTTTGTTTAATATTTTTAATCTATTCTATATTTCGAATCGCCTTGAGTTATAAGTTATTTTAGATTCAAATCCTGATGATGGCTCTCAAGGCAAGTCGTAATATAGAATATATAGCTCTTTAGCACTTCCCTTTAAATTTATGTTCACAACTCGCATTTTTTATTTTGTCTTTATATTTTCAAGTACTATTGTCAGTTACTTTTCTAACTTGAGCGACATTAATGGATTCTAACTTTCAGCGATACTAAGATGGCTAACAACTGCTCTTATTATTGTAAATTTCCTTAATGTAATAATGGAGTTCTGCTTATTATCAGTGAAGCAGTAGAATTTCAAAACCTTTATTGGGTAGTTTTATTAGAGAAAAGGTGAAGCAGTTTGCAGACACAATTGCTACAAATAAAGATGCGATCAAGACAATTTGACCATTTATGCATTCGAGAGCAAACCGGATGATATATTTCAATTACATGTTGCTTGTTCGGAAGCTTAAGCAGGAGAGACCGAGCGTACTTTTGCGAAGTTGGGAGCTATCGAAGCCAAACGGGACTTTTCCAGACAAACAAGTGGATGTCCCGTTTGGTAGCAACCATGCGTTCGAATAATATCGCATGATTGCTCCGTTAATGAAATTAAGCACAGGGCCGGATTTTGGAGACGCGTGTGTTAACTTATATTTAAATCATTAAATACTTTGGAAATTTGAAGTAGAGTGGCAAAAAGTAAAAAAATGTAACTGAATATTTTAAATAAAAAATATTTGGTAGAAAACCAAAACAAAGTGGTTTCTCTATAACTCGAATTTTCCCTAACTCGAATTTTTTTTGCTTTCCCTTTGACGATTCTAGTTAGGGAAATTTCACTGTATATAATATAAAATATAATATATATAACATATAGAATAGGTATATTAAAAAATATTAAACAAACGTTTATTTTTAACAAGAAGTGACCTATAGCCGTATATAAAATATTTTAAAAAACATTATTAAAAAAACCAGGTCGAGAAATAAATTTAAAATTTAATAAAAAAATAATTTAAACAATAATATGTATACAAATATACTTATCATTGTCAAAATAAGTTGTAGTTTAAAATTATAAAAATTTAAAGGTTGAGCTTTTGTTTGATTTTTAAATAGTTTTAATGTCAACACTACTGAGAGCTTATAAAGGCAAATTCTTTTAACTTTAGACAATAAATTTCCGACTATAAAGTTTTTTATTTTGCCTTTTTCAAAACTAAGAGATTTTCCTTGACAAGTTAATATTCGTTTTAACCTTCATATTCCTTCCAAATTGCACCCCAATAATGGCCACCGAATCCTTTTGTATTCTCAAAACTTGTCCTTATCAGTAAATAAGGATATTTTGCTTATGTACTCTGAAAGTGTCGTGCTTGTGAAGCAATAAATTTTCAGAAATTCCTTTTCCTAGTAAAAACGAATATTTAATTTGTATTTCAAAAATGTTTTTCTATGGGTTCTTATAATTGCTCTTATTTTACATTTTATTTATATATCAAATATAATATCAAATTTGATACTTTCAAATAAAGCCAATTTACTTATTGTATTTGTTTATTGACAATTTCAAGAGAACTAATTTGCAATTTTGACATCTTCATACCAAAATTTCTAAGGATTTTTCTTTTATTGAATTTGTACTTTTCTTTTAGTGTAAATTGTATTTACTTGTTTCTAGGCACTTTTCTAAGTAAATAAATATTCTAAAAGCTGT